CATAAGAATAGATTATCATGTAGTTCGAGTATGATCTTTTGGACTAATTAAATGTAAAATTATACAGCGATCTTGAAAATTTCGTACGAAGTCCCCTTTGATTTAACTAAACGTTTGAAAAACGAAACGTCGACTAAAAAACGTCGCAACTTTTGTGCCTTTTGGCCACAAAACAACATCCCCTTTGCTTCACGTCCCAAAAACGAGTTTCTTGGTATCCTAATTCTTGAGAGCTAAAATAATTTCAGGCTGCAAATCGTACTAGATGCACATCTGGAGGAACAGTTTGATGGAACAGGAGGTAAGCCAGATTTTTACCTCTGAGACATCAACTAGTCGTAACAGCATCCTATTTTAGATGACCCAGAACCGATATTTTCGGATGACTTCGAAAATGGTTTCCGCTACTTTGTGCACGCACCCGAAACGATACCGTACCTTGTATCTGAAGGAATCAGTGTGTCACCAAGCACGAGAGTGTATTCAGCAATCTCGACGAATACGGTAAGTAGTGGATCGATAACAATGAGAGCAAGGAAATTTGAATACCCAGAAATTACGTTACAGTATGTGCTCCTGCCGGCTGAACGTTGGGGTAATTGCACATCAAAATGGCCCAAAGCATTCCATTCAAAGTTGCCATACTCATCTGTGAATTGTGATTCCATATGCAAAGCGATGTTTTTCAAGCAAAAATGCGGCTGCAGCCCATTCACTTACGATATTGAGCACTGTAGGTTGAATTCACGTATTTTATGTGAGTGGAGAATTTTGTTTGTTTGCAGCTTTTACGATGTGCACACCATTTCAGACGGTGCGCTGCATTGATGACCATATAAGAAAAACAGTGAAAGGTATGTACACATAAATGAATGAAAAACAGGCCGGTTTACGAGTCTTACTCCAGAAAACAAAAAATCTGCTCAAAAGTGTTTGAGATTAGTCCCGCTTATATCATATCGGCTGTGGCATATAGCAAATCCACTTCGTACCCATCAAGAATTTCATTCAAAACAAAGTTGAAATGTAGAGTTAAAGAGGCTGAAAATTCAACTATTAATACAGCTAGCCGTTATCAGTGACTTTTCTCGATTCAAAAATGGCTCCTCCTAGGACCTCTTAGAATTTTTAGCGAACAATTCAAAAAAACTACATTCTTAATCTTTCTTCTTATCAGCTTACATCGCAGTATATGCAAACAACAATGCTTGAAACACTGTTGGGAATTGCATGATTTTCTCTCCCTAGGTATTTTGTGTCTAATACCTGAAACCATGAGGGCTTGCAATTGTTTAAAATTGTGGGGCAAGGCTTATGAGCTAACTCAGTACTAATTTTTCTGCGTTTTTTTATTGATAGCTCAGCCCATTAACGAAATTGGCACCCACACTTACCTTGTTGAAGGAATGGTAAAAAATTCAATTTCAGATGTTGATTACTACGACATCCCTCGATGCAAAGAGTGTCAAATCGAATGCGATAGTATTGTTTACCATGCTTACAATTCCTACGGACATGGATTCAGTAATGGCGCATTGACCTGGCTCAATAAGAAGAACAAATCATGGAGCATACCACATATGAAGTAAGTTTTGACAGAATTTGCGTAGAACGTCAAGTATTTTTTGAGATGTTTCAGGCCTCAGAACATGAAAAATAAGAATGACATCTCAGTTTGTTGATTTTTCTTCACATTCAAGTAAATCATTGATTTATTTGAATTTGATGTAATGCTAGAGGACAAGAGGCTAGATCTCTTTTGTGTAACAAAGTTACATAATTTATGTATTTCAGAACGAATTTCTTGACAGTGAATGTATTCTTTCGCGACATGTCTTACATGGAATATGTGCAAGTGCAAGGCACCACTCTTACCGAAACTCTTAGTAAGACGCTTTTTTTTCTGAGAAATTTTTGCAATAAAAGGTTACATAGCTTATAGGTGATATCGGTGGAAATATGGGATTGTTCCTAGGAATGAGCGTAATTACTGTAGTTGAGATATTGATGTATTTCTCGAAGATTGGATGGATTACATTTTCAAGCAAAAGGAGACTTTATATGTATCGGAAAAAGGAACATGAAAAGGTGATTTTCCCATTCAAGGATTTTTTTCGTGAGGCTGCATTCACAATCTGCCTACGCCGGCGGTTCCAATGCCGTGCCAGCACCTTGAACTCAAGTGGACGCACTGCACATTGTCCCATCGATCTCGCCAGCATAGTTCTGGCACGGCCCTGGAACGGCGCTGGCACAGGAACTCTGGACGTAGCGCTGGTAACTGTTCATTGTTTAGGAGCATGAAAAACAACTGGAAGAAACGATGAGTGGTTTTAAACTATTCCGCAGTCGTAAGGAGGGAACTGATATGAGTCATACAAGAGCACGATTACGAGCACTCACACAAAAAGTGTCACCCGTAGATGCGCCGGTGAGCGTTGTTTATTTTTTGAAAGCATTCTGAGGGATAGTTCAGGATAAACACTCTATGTCGTCTGAGAGAGAATGTGAAGCGTCGGATCGAAGATCACAGTTTATGAGTGCTAATACTGGAGTAAGTTTTTGAATGAGTTTTTGAACGTCTTTTGTGTTGGAAGCAAGTACATAAATTGGTTTTTGCACTTTTCAGTCATTGTACAGTGACAATCCGGAAAAACGAAACAGCGTTGTGAGTCGCCACATTTTTTTTCAAAGTTACCCTAGTAAAAGTTGAATCTGTTTTAGGTGGAGCTGAAAATTAACCTTCGTGATTTGGAAGAAATGAAAGACGGCCATTTGCAAATAGAAGCTGATTATAGAAGCAGACCTAGATCGTCCACAGCACCCCCTCCTTCGTTTGTAAGGGGAGTTGCAAAAGATGAATAGGATGACCTTGTACGGACGTTAATTGATGCCTCTGTTTTAAATATATGCAAATATGTATGTGTTATCGGTGTACGTGTGATCTTACAAAAATCACTTGTTTTGATGTTTAGTTGTAATTTAGAGAATATTCTTATCAAAATTTGGTAGTGTTTTAACCGCGCAGTGATTGACAAGAGATTTCATAGCTTCCCTTTGATATAACCAAATGGGCGCCTGGAGGGCGGGGCATCGATCGATAGAGAGGCAGAGCCTGCGTCTCCCACACTTACGTGCTCTCTAATCG